AGGAAAAGGAAAAGGAAAAGGAAAAGGAAAAGGAAAAGGAAAAGGAAAAGGAAAAGGAAAAGGAAAAGGAAAAGGAAAAGGAAAAGGAAAACTCAACACAATGCAAATGACTGCATCAAATGAACGGTGATTAAGAAACCATCTCCAAGGTAAGCATTCCAACATACCTTATGAAAATTTAAACAGTATCTCAGTTTTCAATGACAGATATTTTCCCAAATGACCAAGAGTGGTTTTAGTTTTATAAAAATTTTGCCAAATTTAGTCTTCTTAAAGCATAATAATGTTATGACACTTCATAACTCCTGTGCCAGCAAAATTACGCTGTAATCAGAAAGATGTTCATCTGACGAGGCTCACATGTAGTCAACAGTCAATTCACGTCAAATAACATACTAACACTGCATTAAGAAACTCATAAAACAAGTTGCAAATTTTTAAAAAATCCACTGTTTTTTCCTCTTTATTTTTAAAAGTTGTACTTTAGTGAGTATTCCTTAGTTCAAGAGAAATTTAAGATAAGAACAACTCTTTGATTTTTAAAAATATATAAAATACATCATTATTCAAAACCTCATGATTTCCACTGACATGTAAAACCAGAAGGAAATTGGACCACTGAACTCTGGGCAAGAGGAGCACAGAAGAGAAGAAACAGTTATCTTCTGTGAAAATCTGTTACTTGAACAGATACAGACAAACAGTCCACATATTTTATTAATATAAGTTTGCTAATACATTTGTGTAGTCTTTCTATTTCAAATAATCTGTCACATTAAAGTTACACAGTTCATTACCCCTATTTCCCAACTGAAATAATACCTTCAGTTTCTTTCCAACCAAGAGTAGCACTGTTACACAGTGGTGGTGAGGTACAAACAGAATTCCTTTCTCTTTTGACAATACTTTCCTTGCTGCCATAATAAAAATCTAAAATTCCTCTGACTTCACCAAGCTCCGGCTCATACCCTAAAATGTAACTGAAATGCACTATTTAATCTGTCAAAGGAGATACTATACCCCTTAGTTAGCTGCTAAAACACGGTATTCTCAGGATTTTTTACTTAAGTGTATTTTTGGATCTTCAGCTAAGACATAACAAATAGCCAAAATAAATACATGCAATTATTTCAAATAGATACATTTAACACACGTTTTCTGTAAAAGTAACAAATTTTCAGCTCAACTTAAGTCACCCCCTGTGCAGACACAGAATTAGTGCAGCCCAATTCTGGAAATTGGATCTTAGACTTACACACACAGAGCTATTAATTGTCACTCATATACATCTTCTATTGCATCTGAAAATCATTTGATAAAATCCTCAAAAACCTCTACTAATTTTAAGTAAGGTCAAAGATCTGTTTGCCTAGTTCCCTTTTTGCAGAAGCTGTGCATGTCATGCTCAACTAGGTAATTTTTCCATTGGCTACTTTACTGAGATACACTAGCTTATCATTCCAAGAACTTCACGTAGTTATTTTAAAAACAAAAAGTGAGGTATTTCCTGCAGTTCAATCTCCAAGTATAACAGTTAGTTTTAATGATAAACTGAACATTATTCTTAGCAGCTTAGTCACTTAACACATCACAACTTTCAGAATTCTCAAATAAATATAATCCAGCTTCAGTGATTCATTACAATTGAAATCAACTTGTCCTTTTCTGTGTCTTAAAGCACCCTATTTTTATAACCTGCAACACTAGCTATCAAGCAGCACCTCTGCAGTGTACATTTTCTTATCTTCCCATTCCCTAAAATCGTCAAACTAGCCATTTAGGGTTTCTGAAATGTCCTTATCTTCTGTGTTGATTCCCTTTAGTTCAAAGTATCCTGAAGCCTCACATTCCTGTACCCTTCCTCCTCCTAATATTTCTCATTTGGTTTTGATCCTTTAAAATATTTATTCTTGACATTTTCTGTTTGCCTTCTAGATCCCAATAAAAGTTTTGTACTACTCAGAAAGATGAAATTAACTGCTGAAGCCTGGTATTTTTTCCTGGACCTATCTCTACCTTTATTTATGATTTGATAGGTAACCCTACTGCATTGCTAATGCAGCATATTAACAACCACAAGCAGACTGAGCTTACTTGCTCTGTAAAATATGACTCCCATTTCATCACTTCTGTCTTTCATTCTTTCTTGTTAGGAACTGTTCCTGCTCGTACAAAAAGAAATATTAAAACAGCTGCTAGCTTTGACCAGTACTAAAATTTAAAGTAAAGAAATAAATAAAGCCTTAACAATAAACATACATCAGATTAAAGGTCTGTATGAGCATCCCACCCTATAACCCTTTGGCCTTCAATATTCAGATTCTTGCGATAAGCAACTGAAAGGCACTGGCTTGATTAGTCATATACCAATTACTACTACCTACAGACAATGTTCCCAGATATCAAAGATCTGAAAAAACTTTTGTCTAAGATGAGCAAAATCTGCTAACTGAATTGCCCCTATTGAAGAAGAGCCATTTGCCATTAAGATTTTATGTAATTATTGTTTATTTACTAAGCATAAATTACAGCAGAACAAATGCATTTTAGAATTCCCTTGTAAAATAAGAAACCACACGAGTAAAAGTGCTCCACTGCCTATTAAACTCACATGTATCTTGACACCCTCCCTTACCCAGTATTTTGCTACAACTCTTGAGTTTTTTATAGATTAAGCTGTGGGTCAAACTACACTATTTGCTTGGCAACAGGACATAAAATGTCAATTAAATAATGAGCTGTGAAGCGACTGATTCCACACAGGCAACATATTTTAGAACTATGTCATCTGATCCCAGACTTTACAAAAGGATCTATCTGACCTCAGGGAATAGAGTAAGGCTTCTAGGTGAAGACCTTCCAAACTAGCTGGCAGCAAGACATATTTCCACTCAAAAATGGGCTCTTTTTAAGTGTAACACAGTTACTGCGACAGTTCACTATACAGGTACTGTTTTACATGTCCTCCTAATGCATTTGCTTTTCATTCTCATGACCACCTTAGCACAACCAAGTCTTTGGGGAAATTCTCACCTTACCCTACCTTATTAAATAGTTAACTTGGGTGAAATTTAATGCTACCGCACAGATTCTGCTAGAGGGATTCACTATTGATTTAACTGACAGAGGTACCTTTAGTAAATAATCCTGGTAATATGTAATGCTTAGTTTTCATTTCACAGACTGAAAATGTATCTAAATCAAAAAAATCAGTAGGTTTCTTACAGCGTCCTCACCAAGCTAGTCTTAAGTACCTCAGGGATATCCTGGCTTGTATAAACTGCAAGACTTGGGAGTTTTTCCCAAGCCCCCTGTTGAAACTTACCTTCCATTTTCCTTATGAGGAACAAGACCCAGGCAGGAGAGAATGGGATCAGAGCACAGTTCTGCCACCTCCCACTTCACCAATAAGAGTACCAAGACCTCAGGTTTAATTACAAACCACACACCTGTTCTGCCTCACAGATACCGCAGTGAAAACTTTCTACCATAAAAGAATCCTTTTGCATGTTCTACCAAGGCACAAAAGCCCAGCAGGTGGGCACTGATTTAGAAACCACCACCCCTCCACTACCCCTCCAGACAGATGAAAACCTGAAGTCTGTCACTACCAGCAGTAACACCATCAAGTACAGAAACCAACCTGCTTTCCTGGTTAATTTGGCTTATTCATTGATGCACTAAAATTCACACACAGAATGTATTTTTCACTGCACATGTACTGACAAATATGT